CTTATCTTACAACAGCGACTTACAAACACTTACCAAAGACACTATAGTTTTCTTTTTAATTTGTGCATTGGATTTTGTTTTTCACCCTACACCGGTAACGGTACGGGTCTAACTTACTTACTTACACCTTCAGGTTAAATATTCGAGTCTCAATATCTCAAGGCAGGAAAATTCATTATGATCAAACTTTTTCCCGTCGTACTACTATGACCATGGGCTACCAGTGTGGCAAGTTTCAAGTCAAAATTCGAAAGTCGGATTTTCCCTGCCAACTCCCCATTCACCGTTTGTTTTGCAGACAGGCAATATATAAATATAATGTAGTTCTATGATAAAATTTTAAAAATTTTCTTCTAGTAAATCAACATTAATGTGTTAACCTTCGATGCGTGATATGTGCTGCAGCAGTACCAGTGATAGTATCTAGCACTTAATTACTAATTAGTTACATGAAATTAAGAAGATGGATCAATAGACCCACAGGAAGTCCCCAAGGACTCTCTTGAAAATCCCCGAGAACTCCCCAGGGACTCCTTAAGAATCCCATAGAACTCCTGTGGGAGTCTTGAGGAATCCCTCTTGAATCCCTTAAAAATCCTCCATGACTCCACAGAGGATCCTGCCGTGACTCCGTGACAGGACTCCTGCTGATTCCTGTAGGACTTTTTTTCCAGGACTCCTGCGGGAGATTAATCAGGAGTCTCGACTAGGGTAGCGCTTAATTTGACAGAGACATCTTTCCGACAGTGTTTATCACCTAGGAAAAAGTCGCTTTTGAGACAAAGTGGCGCTAGTATATGCCACACGTTCTAGAGCTCTTAAAACTGTCATAATTTTTGATCAAAATATCGCTCGATGCTGGGAGACGCCTCATTTTAAGCAAAAATATTTACTCTACGAACTGGAGTCACTAGAATCCTTTTCCATTCCGACATTTTATTAAAATATTAGAATTTCAGAAAAATCAAGTTTCTGTAGCGTTTACAATATTTGTTCAAACTCATCCAGCAACCTTTGATATTGGCACAAATAGTATGCATTCGGAAAGTAGGCACCTTGGGGTGTTTCCCCACAGGTCCGCCCACTATTACATTCACTATGAGCCGTGAAAATTTCACTTTATCCATCATGTAGAGCATCAAAAGTAACCTAAAGGTCTCGCTTACCCTTTTTTGAAGAAACGTGTGGAAAGTGGTTTATTTATCCACTGAATTTCATCCGAGCAGAATTATTTTTCATTGCATCAGTGTCTCAATAGTGAATCCAGCTCGACAGGGTTGCCAGATGTCCCACATATAAAGATTTGTCCCCCGCGAAATCTGTCCCCCCGGGTGTCCCCCTTTTCAAGGATTTTCTTCCGATTGTCTTCAATGCACTTTTCACTTTTGTATTACACTTTTATTTCAACAGATCTTTAGCATTTAATGCCCTTTCTTATGTGAAATACAGTCTGTATGAGAGATATATCTGCCTATGCGATAACAGGAAAAGGATAATTTTTTTGTCTTTTTTGTACACGCCTTTCAAGATGCACGTTCCAAATAAAAGTGAAAATAACGCTGTACGCAGTTTTACTATACTGTAAGAAATGAAACAAAAGTCGAATACAACAACATTTTCATCTTCGTACAAAGTTTTTTCAAATTCTCATTATCTTTCTCGAACGAAATGTCTTGTTTTTCTGCGTATCTAATTACTTTTATATGAGTAATGTCTGATTTTAAAAATAAACGTTCAGAAAATGTAAATAAACAGCTTTATCTCAGCGTTTTATCTTGTCCCCCTTTGTAGAAGAAAAAGTCGCTCTTTTTCCTAGATTTGTCCCCCTTTATTTCTTTTTTAGTTGGCATCCCTGCACCTCGACCACAGTCCACATACCAAAACGGCGGATCTACGTAGGGGCGAAAGGGCGTACGCTCCTCCCTTCCTTGCAAATTCTTCACGCACTGAGAAATCCGCAATTTTCTATCTTTAATGAAGGTTACGTTTATAAAAAATTCAGAAAAACCTACACTACCTAGAAGACCGTCCAGAAGAAATCGTCCCTTCTTTGAAAAATCCTAGATCCGCCGCTGACCCAAACATCCCAGAAAGGCCTACAGGCAGGGACAGGGACGGGTAGATGTAGATCTCTACTCCTAAATCAATTGCTGATGAACAATGATTTTCTGAAATAAAATCGAAGAGTTATGATAACTACTGCTATCCGGTGAATGAATCATGGTGCCACTTCTGTTGTTCAGAGAATTTATGTGTTATGTATTTGTCGATTAATTAATTCACTCTTGTTAGTGTTGTGTGGTATGCAAATATAAACTTGTTGGTTGTCAAAGAACAAATGAAGATAGAATGTGGGCGAATCTGTGTTTAAATAAAATACGGACTGATTTAGCGTTAAGACAAGGTACATTGAAAGCTAAAATGAATTTTCACTGTAATTTATTCTTGGATGAAAAAATATAGGATTTCATCATAGATTTGATGAAACTTTGTCATCATCTAGCCGTACTCAAATTACAAATAACTTTGTAATTTTCACCTTAACAGTTGGTTCGTTTCTGAAATATTAGAGAATTTGAATGCAACAAATTTTTTTGGTCAAGATACGCTGGGACTGAAAGCTAGGCCGAAGTTGGCGCAATCAGCGTAAAGTCACGATGACCCTAGCGACTGAGGCCCAGCTTGAGGTTGTGAGTTGTCGTTTTATTTTAATCGGTTGCTGTTAAAGAAAAGCAGAGGCATGACATACGCTTCAATGGCGATATTTTCACTGTAATTATGATTTCAATGTAGCTTATCTTGACCTTGTTTTAGTTACAATATATTTACGTTACTTAGAATGAGTATATAATTTACCGCAGATAGTTTTTGGTTTGTAGAAAATATAAATATGATGTGTTTCTTCTTGTCGTTCTTGTTTTGAAAGAAATATATTGCCCGTCTTCTGACACTTTCTTTACAAACTGCTAATACTTACCCTAGTCGAGGCTCCCGGCAAAACCCCCACGGGACTCCTGTCATGAGGTCCTGCAGGATCCTGTAGGAGTCAGGTGGGACTTTCAAGGGATTTCTCAGGACTCCTGAAGACTCCCTTGGGACTTCTGTGGAGCTTTCGAGTCCTGCGGGAGTCCAACGAAAGTCCTCAGAATCCTCAAAGTCCCACGGGAGTCTTCAGGAGTCCTGAGAAATCCCTTGAAAGTCCCACCTGACTCCTACAGGATCCCGCAGGACCCCGTGACAGGAGTCCTGTGGGAGTTTTGCCGAGAGTCTCGACTAGGGTAAAATAAACATTGTGTTACAATGATCCAGACCCATGGTTACGACTGTCGTAAATGGTTGTATCCGTCAGATTACGCTGTCATAATGTGACGTGTACTATAGTATTTCGTCGCATTCTGACGTAAAACCGGCCAATGTTTTACTTCAGCTGTTAAGACCGTCGTATTTCAACGTAAACAATGTTGTCACGGTGGACGTAATGCTTTGGCCCGGTTTACGTCAAAATACGACAGGAATAATGTCTCGAGTGCTCGTGGTAAAGCTAAAGCTCAGTCGAATGAAATTTATGGGTGATTATCGCGTGATACAATTCAGCCTGGTAACAAAAGAATAGTTTTTGAGAAAAACACATTCATCACCGAAAACTGTGTGGTTCTTCTATATATGTGACCTAAAGTCAAAAACTTGAAGGTAATCGATCTATGCGCATTCGATAAACATATGTACCAACATGTGCTGGCATGAACATATGTGATGGCTGTGTAATATTCTAAGTTCAGATAGTTAACATATACTTTCTGCCTGATAAGTTTTTGTTTAGTGTACAGTTTAAAAAACAGTTCATTATGAAAAAAGTACATATTGCAGAATATGTCGACATATGCCACACATGCTCATTAGATACATAATGATTAATTACCAACCAAGTGCTTTACGTAAGAAATTTTGCTATATTTCGTGGCTTTTGAAAACATCCAAAATTTTCTCGGAATAGGACTTGACTCCTGAGTCCTGAAAGAAAGAGACACATCTGTATAATCCGCGACAAAGATTTATAACTACATGAGAGAAGGCAAACGTAGCCAAAACATTTTTTAGATTATTGTCTTCAACATTATCTTTTAGATTAAAATATTTTTTCTCTTAGAATAAAGAAAATTCAGTATTAGTAGACAAAATGACAGTTGCTGCTATGTCTAGTAAGAAACCAATAATTTATTATCGTTCTGCTTTGTCTACTTCATATGATTACAGGTTGGCGTAGGTTAATCAAACCTTACGTATACTCCACCATTGCTATTGGTAGCTCAGCGGCCACGGGGGATTTTATTTGTCAGTTTTTGGAACACAAAGCTGGCAAGAGATCCACCATTCCACTATACCTAACCAATCTTCCTTGGTGGGATGTAAAACGAACCCTAATCATGTGTTCCACTGGTATGCTCGTAACTACACCCTTCTCGTTCACTCTCATGCGTACCGTCGAACATGTCTTTCCTGGAAAACAAGCAAAACAAATTGCTAAAAAGATGCTCACTAATTCTCTCATGGCACCCATCGGCATATCTCTAGCTTTTACATCGATCACATTGATGAATGGCAAAACATTTGAGCAGGCGGAAGAAAAAGTTATCAATGATATGCCAAAAACATTTTTAGCTGGGACGTGCTATTGGCCGTTCATCTCATTTATCAACTTCCGCTTTATACCACTGGATTATAGAGCATTTATAGGGAGTTTAGCAGCAGCAGTGTGGAATGTCTACATATCAAGCGTAGCAAATAAACAACCAAACGAATCAACGACAGTACTACTACCAACAACGAGGTCGGATTCGAATGCTAGGACGATCATAGCACAACAGCAAGTGCCTGCGAATTAAAACATCGGCTTTTTGTTGAAATAACAAGTTTTTTGGTAAATTTATATAACACCAATAATTAAATTAATTAAATTGAGTTATTAAATCAATCTGATTAATTTAATTATTGGTTCTGTATAAATTTACAAATGTCATTAGAAAAAGTCCTGCCATTATCTCTTGTTAACAAGTTTTTGTCACTGATTCAGTCTGCACGCTCAAAGCACCCAGTAAATCAAAAAATCAAACTCTTGCCACGTCATTCCAAGAGATGCAAGGGAAATAACTCACAGGATACATCCTTTTCCTTAATAAAAAGGAGAAATATGCTACGCGAGACAGTGGTGCAACCAGGACTTTTTGACTATAATACGAGGTATACTGTAATATAATACTCTTACTGTAAAATTCAAAATTAAAGACAAAAACTTTATTTTCCCTGCTAAAAGCTTATTTTTTGTGTAAAAATAAACTGGAAGGAGGGGTACGATTCTATCAGAAAACTAAACAGGACTATCATGATATGGACGTAAAAGTACCGTGTTGATGTTTGGATGGATTCTGAAAGGTCACGGTAAATCAAGTTGGAGATAGTTTTTGTACAATTGAGATGAACCGATATATCTCGGTTGAATAACAATAACTTTGTAGGGTTGAATATGGATTCGCTTGGACAAACGATCAACAAAAAACGACAATAGCCTCATACTTTGACACTCTTGTTTCTCTGACGTGCTTCATGTGATACAACATATCCGGTGACGTTCTGAACATTCGAGATAAATAATAGTCTTGCTTTACCAACAATTTTTTTTTACCATATCCCATATGTTTTGATATTGATGTATCATGATTTGCATGTAGAATCAGTAATTTCAAATCAGTACAATCCGGTCCATACAACTGGTGTTGCTTTCATTATGGATCAATGGAATACAACGGATCAACAGTATGAACAAGATATTTGAGTTTGGTTGTCATTGGTTGAGATGATGGTGAAACATCAGGAAAAGTTATATTAGATAACTCTTAGTAATTATCAAGATCATTTTTTCTCCAGGTCCCGTTTAGTCCAGACCGTTACTAAAAAGGACAGTGTCCGTATGATTTTCTCTTCACATGGCTAAGATAGGCGTCATAAACCTTCTTTCACTGAGGGGCGTGTTATATTAATGTGATTGATTTACGTTGGCGTTACGATACTGTGATCCTGGCTTTGTTTACAATCGGTTTGAACGAGACAAGAGGAAGTAACTATCACATATTGTGTTTCTTGTTCGATTGTTTGAGTAAAATTTTGACATCGTTCGATACATATTTGACAAGGTTCAATAAACAGTTCATCATATTGAGTTTGATTATCAACAAACGTCTTATCAATATCCTGAATAAAGAATAATCAATAAGTACCTCATTTGCTCATCACTAGAAAAAAATACTTGAAATCTCAAATCTTCAAACTGACTTATCAATGAAGACAACTGCTTCTCTCTGTAAGAGATGCCGATAGTTGTAATAAAAATTTGATCAATGCTTCTGCTACCTGAGATGTTTGACAGTATTGTTCAATCATTTTTTCGACATCGTCTTTGTATAATGTACATTGAATTTCAGCTGAACTGGATGGAGATTCTCGAATTTCTATGTCATCGGTTTGAACGAGACAAGAAGAGGTGAATTTTACATATTGTGTTTCTTGTTCAATTGTTTGAGTAAAATGTTGACGTCGTTCGATACATATTTGACAAGGTTCAATAAACAGTTCACCATCATATTGAGTTTGATTATTAACAGATACCTTACCAATATTCTGAATAAAGTAAAATAAAAGTTTTTGGATGCGACGAGATGTAAACCCAAGAGCACCCTTAGTACTTCTCTGAACGCACTCAAAATGCTCCATATTGTATTGCTTTAAGCGTTTTTTTGAAACAGAACAGAGTTGAGGATATACAATTCAGATTACATCACTGTTCGTGAAACTATTAAAACACAAAACCAATCCTTGCTCGAAGCAGCGTGGTATCTCCCAAGTGGTTTTTTGCTTAAGGGGAGGATTTGAAAATTTAATTTAAATTTTTAAATTTTAAAATATAAAGCAAAAAGTTTAAAAAAGCTCGACGTTGGCTCATGACCATGACTACTTGCAACAAATTTTGTTCCAACAACCTTTTTCAAAAATCTAACCCTATTGTATTATCGTTGGCAAGGCTTGGTCTGTTGGAGTTAATATATCGTCATTCCTGGCGTTCTTTATTATTATCGGCTGGACTTTTTGGAGTAAAAACACATATTGCCACGAGACTCAGCATGATTGGTTACCTATAATCCACCAGTTTTCACGACTACGAATAGTCACTGGGTGCCAGTCCTGTGGCTCGTAGGAAATCCGATACAATGCCCGAACCGCGGAAAATCAAGTTGTAGCTAGAAGTATGGCAATTATCGAGGTCTTTTTGTTTTAAGACGAAAAGATTTTACCATTGTTCCAGCAGTTGTAAACGTATAGGTATGATTCAATTTCCACATTTCTTCAATAATTTTTTCAATTTTTTTCTCATGTTCCTCATCAATGTCAATGAACATCATTCGACATAATCGATCAACTAATTGTGGTAACTGATAGAGTTGTTTTTGAATTTGATCAAGCCGATACGTGTAAGCATGATCAATAACAAATATCCTGGAAAAAATGAGCAGCACATTTATTCTGGTTTTGTGTGTTTTTTTCTTTCTGTCAATGTACGTACATGTATGGATCATCTTTGTTCAATATTGTATGTTCATCTTTTACTCGTAATTCTCGTCCAACTGTTTTATCTTCATCATCTTGTAATTCAACAATTTGAAAATATTCTCCAACATCAAATATCTATACTAAAACGAAAGAAAAATATTAATCAACAAACTATAGAAAAATTAGGCGATAGATAATGAACCTCATTGTATAATTTATGATAAATATTCGGCCAATAGTGTTCAGGTATATTCGATAGTTCCAGTTGAGAACGATGAAGATCAATGAAACTATTTAAAATTGTTGAATCGATTTGTGGATCTCCACCTTGACCATCGTTACCATTCATCATGCAGAACAATTTTAATGTCTAAAATTTTAAAAGCGCACGTTAGACACTGACACTACAATACATAAAAGATTCGCATTTTCATGTTATTTTTGCGAGAGGAATGAACTTTAGTGTTTATCTTTTATTTTTGAAAAATGATAAAAAAAAGAAACATAAACTCACTGTTGTTATTTTTTGATGGACTAAACAAAAAAGTACATGCAAAAAAAAAAGAACATCTAAAAATCAATAGCACTCGCATCTCACCGTTTACTTCGACCTGAATATAGTATTTCATTCAACAAAAAAATGGCATTACCTCACAAGTAGCAAAACAGTAGAAAAAGAAAAATAGACAAAAACAGAACTCACTTGATTAAATAATACACTATAAGTAAAAAACAAAAATGCGTAGTAGTCATCAGATTGTGTCGTTCTAAAAGTTATCTGACCACTTTATTTTCCCGTGTGCCACAGATCAGTGTACTGTGCTCTCTATCACTACACTCTAGAATAGACAATCAATCATTCCAGGCAAAAATACTTTAATAGCCCAATACAAATAAAAAAACAAAAGGGCAATTATAAAGACATACACCGGCCTCAAATGAGAACAGAAATACGACAATAGTCTAGTAGAATGAGAAACAAAATCAACTACGTAGCTTAACAAAAAGCTTTAGTCGTAGAACGTACAAGAGGGTTAAACAAATTCGCTACCAAATATCTGTTTCTGTTCTGTCGAGTTAAAAAAACACCGATATTGACCTTGGTGTTATCGTTGCGTAATAGTTTATCTACTACGTCATAATACCTCTATTGCGTATTTCGTAACAGCT